CCCTGGGGAATATTTACTTCCAATAAAATTATTGGAATATGCAACACCAATAGTAGTAATATATCCAGTAATGCTAAACACAATAGGTAGGTTCACGGTGACCAAGAGTTAACAGTGCAAATTGGCCCGGTTGTGTTTTTTCAAACTCTTTAGACGTGTGTTTTTGAAAATTTGAGAGGTAGATTGATAAATTTGGTCATGAAATTGCTGTCACTTGACTTTATGTAAAAGTAAGTAATTTATATTCATTTCCATACTATATATCTTAACTTCAGGTATCCGTATATAATAATTTTTAGATTAAACTCTTTAGACGTGTTCAAAAAATTGCGGTTAATGATGTTGACTTGTTACTGAAACCATTCAGACGTGTAGAGACATTGAGGTTTAACGATTTGGAAGTAGGAAACAGCACAATTAACATTATGTATTTCCCAAAAAATGATCAGAATGTGGAAAAAGTTGTTGTCTGAGTAATACTATCTTTATTATAAATGATTAACAATAATCAAATGTACGACATAATTTATCAAGATTGATCTATAGAATCATTACAGAATTTGATACTTAAATTGAAATGGTTAGAATCAGACACGCAAGGTAAATGCAAGCGAGCTTTGCCTTGCCGCTTGTCGTTTTGATAATTTGACTATTTTTTAATTGCCCCGTCGCTCATTTAATGGCTAGTTGCTATTTTTGAATTTGCCTCAAATAAGTTTTAAAACATCCATATTGGCCTTAAACTCACTTTCCCCTGTCATGATTGAAATAAATTTATTTAAAATGAGAGGAAATGTTTAGTTTGTGATGCACTACATGTAAATGCATATATATGATCACCTAATGTAAGGAATAACTCCACCGTTATTTAGTGCTCAAAATCAAACTTGAGAAATCTATTGAGGTGTAAAGGTGTCTGGTTTGCTTTAAGACATCATATTCGTCCCGATCATATTGATTAGCATTTGCCTATCAGATACATCTGCGATATATAAAAACAGAATATAATAAAGTCTGTCTGTCGGTCGGTCGCTCGGCTGGTCGGTCAGTCATTAAGATAAAGATAATTAGAATATAAACACGATCTTTAGAGTAGTGAATATTATTCCACGTTGTCGGTCTCTAATTTGCATTCAATTAAATAGTTTGTATTTTTTAAAATAAAGAATATTACATCTTCAATTTCATCATATGAAAAACTTTTTTCACAGGTGTTGAATTTTTCTCAGAAAATCGCATGCGCTTTTGCAAAGGACTTGCTATCATATATGCTTCCTCTTTTATTGATGTACTGGTGCCATCAAAACACAACTTTGAACCCAATTTCTCGCACATCCGAAACCCATAATCGATTGTTTTATATCTCCATATTCCTTGATCGTGGATAGGGATGTCAATTCTGAACAGATCAGTTGGATGAACATTCTCATAATGTTCAAGGAGTGTGTTCTTATCGGCGCTTTTGAAAGCACACATGTGACACTTACTATTCACAAAATATGTGAATAGTCATGTAGTACAAACATTCATCTTCAGAATACTAATGCGATTATTTTCAGAAGCACAGACAAATTATTAAGCAACAAAACATGTGAAATGTGAACACTATTACAAAACAATTCGAAGTCGTTAATTTTATCACGTCTATAACGTTATCTTTACAATTCCAAAACGTTAACATGCTCATTATAAGACACGTCCATGACGTTATGTTGTCCCTTCTCCATAGTTAACTCCACTTTCTACATTTACGGTCATTTATCGCAATTTTAAGATAAATACAGTTAAAATATTAACACGATCTTTAGAGTAGTGAATATTATTCCACGTTGTTGAATGGATTGTCTGTTTAAACTTCGATTAAATAACACTAAATGCAAATTAAGTACATATTTCTGGCACTTTTGGTATATAATTGCGATTGATATGAAGTATGATGGATTTATCCCCAAAATAGATTCGTGGGTATGAAGAAGAACATCTTAGGTAGGCCTACAGGTCAAGATATGTAAGTTTGTAAAATATAGAATATTCTTACCTTTTTGCTCCATTCTAACGAAGGTCGCACCCCATGTTCTTACAAAACACGTCTTAAGAGTTTGAAAAGACACGACCGGGCCAATTTGCACTGTTAACTCTTGGTCACCATATAGGTTGTTGTGTTGTTAATGCATTTTCATGACAAAACAAAAATGTTCACGATATTCCCAGGAATACCTGAGCTGAGCATATCAAAGGGAGGTCAATTATTACAGAGATGAATCGTGCATTTTTTATGTCGCCACCAAAAAGTAACAAATTCTTACAACTTCCAATAACTTAACAAATACTGTGTAGACTGATGTCAATTTTTTCAAAATCATCTATATGTTTCCAGAAGTTCAAATATTCATAATAGAGCTCAGCGATATGTTTTAGGGGTACACCATTTTGCCCCACTAATAGGTTTATATGGGGATGTTGGTTGGCTTACTTTGAAAATAATTCATAAGCTGGAAGCTGTTAAGACTGTGGAATAGATTTGTATCACTTGATAATGATCGTTTAACAAAGAAAGTTTTTTTTAATTTTATTTTTATTTATTTATTTCATAAAATACATACAATAGTTAACAATGAAGAGGGTGACACAAAGATTTGTGTATATTCCCACAGATGGAGTGAGTAAAATACAAGTATGTTACATTATGCAGTTTTGGGGATCTGCCGTTGCATGCCCTCGACAAAAAATATAATATGTGCCATCAAATTGCCCAAGGAAAGAATTAAAGTTGCAATAAATACTTGGTTTTTTTTCATAAAAATGGTACTTTTAATGGATTGAATGTGCGGGGGTAGTTGGTTCCAAATATCAGGTATAGAATATGCTAGCATTGATTTTCCATAGTTAGTGCGGGTTTTTGTCTTGTCGTAAGATTTGTGTTGTAATTGTGTCTATTCTCAACTGTTTTGAAAAAAGTTGGGAATATCTGTTTGTAATTATCCTTGTCGCTGATCCATTTAAACATAAAAATATATCTCTGCTGCTTATTTATTTCAAATATGTTAAGTTCACCATATCGATACCACTCCTTTTCATGTTTTATTCTGGAGACAATTTCCAACATGGAAAAAATATATTTTAAATGAAATTCCTTATTTTATGAATTTGATAGGCTTTTTTCAAAAACACTCCACTGTCAATAAAGTACAGGTGGCCATTTTGAAAGCTTTTGGATGGTGTGATCTCGTTCACGTCATGTGCCTTGTTTGGAAAATCTTGTCATCGCCATTTTAGGAAAACTGGTCATCAGATTTTCTCCAAATTTGCACACATGAGAGATGATATCAAGTTCTAAAGCTGATCAACTTAAGGGTGGCCATCTTGTTTTCCGGTGGCCATTTTGAAGGTTTTTTGGAAAATCTTGTCATTGCCATTTCAGGAAAACCACTCATCTGATTTTCTCCAAAGGATAGGTATCAATATGGTGAACTGAATTAAACAATGTTTTTCTCTTAAATCAATTATTGAAAACATTCTGTAAAAAAACATGGTCCTTTATGTAATGTTGACTGATTGACAACAATTTAATGCGAAAATTATGTATATAGATTTTATATAACTATTTTTGTTAACATTTTTTTAGTACAATTGTTTTTTGTTCCTTTCTACCAATTCTTGGAAATGAAATAAAATGTCTTTCCGAACCTTGTTGGAACAGAAAAGCATATTCAACATTTTTTTCAACAGTTATATATAGGAAATTTTGATTGATTTAAGAAAAAGTATTCAAACCATTAAAACAAAACCTCCCAAAATAGATAAAATTTAAGATAAACCTTTATTTTACTTTTTTAAAACCAACCAAAATTTCCTTTGTATAATATCAATATTGAGAGACCTAAACACGTTGTGTTTATGTCGTTTTGTTCCAATGAGGTTCGGAAAGATGTTCCATTTCATTCGGAACATATGATACCAAGAACAAAAGAAGTGTCTGGTGTGTTTTCTAAAACAATATAGGGAAAGGTATATTTTTTTCAAATTATATTGTTACCATTTAAAAGTTGACCATTAAATTGACGATGTGTAAAATTTTTAGAATTTTTTGATGACTGGTGTAAGAGAAATGTGTGTTCAAAAAGTTCACCATATCGATACCAATCCTTTGCACACATGATAGAGAATATAAAGTTCTAGAGCTGATTAACTTTAAGGCGACCATCTTGTTTTCTGGCAGCCATTTTGAAGTTTTTTTGGAAAATCTTGTCATCGCCATTTCAGGATAACCGCTCATCGAATTTTCTCCAAATTTGCACATCTGATAGAGGATATCAAGTTCTAGAGCTGATTAACTTTTAGGTGGCCATCTTGTTTTATTGCAGCCATTTTGAAGGTTTTTGGGAAAATCTTGTCATCGCCATTTCAGGAAAATCGCTCATCGGATTTTCTCCAAATCTGCACACATGATAGAGGATATAAAGTTCTAGAGCTGATTAACTTTTGAATGGCCATCTTGTTTCCTGGTGGCCTTTTTGAAGGTTTTTCGGAAATTCTTGTCATCGCCATTTCAGGAAAACCGCTTGTCGGATTTTTCCAAACTTGCACACATGATAGAGGATATCAAGTTCTAGAGCTGATCAACTTTTTGGCGACCATCTTGTTTTCTGGAGGCAGTTTTCAAAGTTTTGTGGAAAATCTTGTCATCGCTATTTCAGGAAAATTTCTTGTGGATTTTGCTCCAAATTCACACATAAATAGAGGATATCAAATTGTAGAGCTGATTAACTATTGAGTGGCCATCTTGTTTTCTGGTGGCTATTTAAAGGTTTTCCGATAAATCTTGTCATCGCCATTTCAGGAAAAGCACTCATTAGATTGTCTCCAAATCTGCACACATGTTAGAGGATATCAAGTTCTACAGCTGATTAACTTCTGGGCAGTTATTTTTTCTGGCGGCCATTTTGAAAGTTTTTTGATGGTGTGATCTTGTTCAAGTCATGTGCCTTGTTTTATTTTAGTCTGAGCTTGAGAAGCTCCAAAAACTTCATCAAAAACAAATGCTTGAAAGTCAAGAGGAACTCAAAGAAAAACTTGAAAAACTTGCAAACAACTTGGAGGAGAAGTGGTCTGATACCCTGAGAAAGGAGTGCATGAAGCTGCGGATGGAGCTGACAGAACAGAAGGAAGAGGATAAGAGGGCAGCCATGTCTCAACTGACACTTATGAAAGAAGAGGAAATGAATGCAATCAAGAAAGGATGGCAAGCCAAAGTGAATGATCTTGTACATCAGGTTGGTACTCAGACTGGGCATTTTAATAATTAGGGATGTCTATTGATTAATTACTTCTCAGACTTCAGGGTGTAACTCTCCCATATAGCGTTCAAGACTTTAAGTACATAGTTCTGTATTCCATCATTCTTTCAGACTAGTGGCTCTAATTATCATTTCAGCCATGTATTTATGGCATTTTTTAGCGTCTTTTTTCAATATTTTTTCAATTTTCTTGTTTGAATTTTCACTTACCAATTCAAACTTTTTCAATTCTTTGTTTGATAATCCATATTTCATGTTTGATATTACACTTTTTAATTCAAACTTTTATTCAATTTTAGAAATGTTGTTAAAAAATAAATCTTCAGTGTTTGATATTTTAAATGAGCAATTACACATCTATCAAAATGCGAAAAAAACAACTTCGAAAAGGTAATAGCTTCGATGTTCAATTTTTAGGATTCAAGAAGATTAAACTAAAAATTCCAAATATACTTCCTTTGTTTGAATACTGTTTGAATAGAAAAATGAAAAGTTCAAATAAGAAAAAATGTATACATCAAATACCAAAATGAAAAGTTCAAACATGATATAAAAGTTTGTAGATAAAAGATGGTTTGAGGTCGTGTAATTATTGCTTTGATATAATAGAACATTAAATTTAACATTATTTTTTCTTATTCAACATACATTTTTCTAATTTGAAGTTCTCAACATTTACTTTTGAATTTTTTTCCTTATTTGATGTTTTTGAAAAAATTGCTTTGATTTCAGAGTTTTTTTTAATTTAAAATATTTTCTTATTTGATGTTTTAAATATATTTAGACTATTTAAAAAATATCAAATGTGAAACTAACATTGGATTTTGAGCCATTTCTTACACCATATGTATTGACTAGAATCAGCATATTTACTTGACCCAACAGTCACTCCAAAATAACACCACTTTTCAGTCATGTTGCATTCAGTCTGGTCAATTATGAATTTAGGCCTAAGCTGGAAGGCAAGAGTAAATTCTGACCTGACCTGAATCAAGAGTAAAATTAAATTGTACTCTTCTTACTTAAGTCAAGAATATCTCCATTTATTGCATCTTCCTTTATTTGTAGATAAGTGTCTTGAAGCACAGTCTAGAATCCAAACAATCTGAATCCTCGGCAGAGTTAGATAGGTTGAAGAATGAAGCTGAAATGGAGAATAAACGACTATCTGAAGAAATACTTGCATCAGCTGAAGAATATGCAAAGAAGATTGAAACTTTGGAGAAGATGCATAATGAAGAGCTGGCAAAGTGGAAGGAGAAAAGTCGACAAGAATTGAAGGTAAAGATTGTGGAAATTGAAACTGTTTCTTCAAGGATTTTGAACCCTGGAGATATTTTAACCACATTGTATGTATCTTAGCTTGAGGGGGACTGAAAGCGCAAAAAAAATTTAGTTCTCAAATAAAATATACAGGGCATATCGAATCTGTAAAAGCAATACTGTAAAAAAAGAAGCATATGGTTACTAACAATCTTAAAGTTTTAAATCAATCAAAATATGTACATTTTTCCACCAGTTAAATATGTAAATGACTTGGAAATTCACATTTTTGGCTAAGAGGAATATAGGTAAGTTTTTTGGGCATTAGAATTCATGTATTTGAAATTAGGATCTTTTTTTTTATTTATTTGTATAAAATAAATGTACATAGGGTAATATACAGGGTGGGCCAAAAAAAAACAATACCCAACTTTAAATCAGACTGAAAATAGCTATGTTCAATATGATACATTGATTTATATATCATTTTAAAGGAAATCCATTTTCGAACAATTTGGTATATAACACTTTGTCATGTAATCAATATTAAAGTTTTATTATGCTTATTTGGGAGGCCGGGTCAGTATTTGAGGTATCCAGATTTTAGGGAGAAAATGGTAAATCTTTGGAATTATAATTTTTTATTTATAGAATATCATTTTGTTAGGTGAATAAATGCTTGTATAATTGCATATTGTGTGACTAAACTTATTGTTTATGAATTTTAGTGTTGTTTATTATCAATAAGTACTCAAAGGGGGTCTGTTAAAAGACATTAAACGTATATGTGACGAGGATTTTATTTTCCAACAAGACATTGCCTCGTACCATAGATCTCAGGAGACATTGGCATTCCTTGGCAAACAAGGTGTCAATTTGATTGATCTCGATGCTTGGCCACCCAACAGCCCCGATGCTACATGTAATGTGTTTGAATACTATACATGGGGCCATTTCGAGGAAATGGTACAATCAAAAGCATCCAATAAACACCTTTGATGAGTTGAAACAGAATCCTAAAGTGCTGAAATGAATTGCAACACAAATCTCTCAAAAAGGCTATTGATAGATTGCGCTACCTTTTGAAGCGTATTGTTGATGCAGAGGGAAGGGGGTGGGGGTATATTGAGCAATTGTGAAAATTGTTTAAATAGATAAAGTGTAAAATATTATTAAACAACACTGAAATTCATAAACAATAAATTTAGTCACACAATGATGCAAATATTAATATCCAAGCATGTATTCACCTAACAAATGAATGATATTCTATAAATAAAAAATTAACATAATTCCGCAGATTTACCATTTTCTCCCTTAAATCTGGAGACCATAAATAGCAACCCGGCCTCCCAAATAAGTATAATAAACCTTTTCTATTGATTTCATGACATAGTGTTATATACCAAATTATTTGAAATTGTATAACCTTTAAAATGATATGTAAGTCATTGTACCAAATTGAATGTAACTATTTTTATCCTGATTTGAAGTTGGGTATTGGTTTTTTTTGGCCCACCCTGTAGTATACAAGAGAGCATATTCAAGTGCTAATCACCATCTTGGCATTATAAGCACTCTAGCCTAGCGGGGAAAAAGTCGAAGAGGGGTGGAAGGGGGGGGGGGGGGGGGTCTGAGCTGGGCTGGGACTGGGGGAAATACAGGGCACTCAGAGGGACAATGTAATTTATAGTTGCAAGACGAGGCAGGGTACAATAGGTTCTAGAATAGTCATGTTCAATATGGGGTAAGCCATCTCTTAATAAAGGCAGAAGTCAGAGTAAAGATTTTTGTGTTTTCATCCTTGCTAAAATTACAATTGCCAAAGGCTAGGTATTCTAAAAGTGTAGATTGGTTAGTGGGGATCAAAGGAGTTTCAGTGTAGAGAGTATTGAAAAAGGTGGTTCTTGCATTTTCATTCAGGGGGCAGTGAAAAAAGAAGTGTTTTGGAGTTTCCGGTAGACCACAAGAACAGTTAGGAGAACTGATGAAGGTGTAATTGTGGGCAAAGAGTTGAGCTCTGAAGAGCAGGTCTACCCTTAACCTATTAATAAGTGTTTCTTCATTTCTAGAAATATTTAGCTTTGAGGTAGGGATTATGTTTATGTCAAGGTTGAGAAGGTGCTTGCGATTGTTGTTCTTAAAGGCAATGAGGGTTTTACTTGTTTGAATATTCTTTGGTACATATAGCCAATGGGAGATTGCATTTGGTATGCAGGAGTTCAGGTATTTAGTAGTGGCATGGTTGGGTAGCCTATAGTGGCGAGTATGTCGTAGTTCTCTTTGAGTATCACATCGAAACTTATCAAAAATATCGTTTATGTATGGTGGAGATGTACCTTTACTAACGTTGAACATGAAGTTGTTAATTTGGAGTTTTCGTCTAGTTTCTAGGCTTGGCCAATTTAATATGTTAAGAACTTTAGTTGTGCTGGTTCCTGGTAGACAACCTGAACAGATAAGAGCACATTGATAGTAGGCACTATTTAGATATCCAAGTAAATACTTGGAAGATGAGTCAAAAAGAAGTGATCCATTGTCAAAGTGTGGGAGAATGTAGGACTTAAAAAGTGTTTCCAAGTGAAAAGATGTCAGTTTAGATTTGAGGGCTTTAAGGGGATTTGTGAGTTTGGTAATTTTATTTCAAAGTCCTAAGATGTGGTCTTTATTTGATAGAAGTTGGTCAAAGACATATCCCAGATGTTTGTGACTTGGTACTCTCTGGATAACTTGGTTGAAAAGGTTTGAGTTATTTATATTTACATTATTGGTTCTGTAACTTTGGAAAATAAGTTCAAAGCTCTTTTCAGGTTTAAATGTTAATTTCCAAGTAAGTGACCAATTTTCAATAGCAAGGAGATTACGAGCAACAGTCTGATCAATGTCACTAGGGCTATTTGGGTCAAAGGGGAAATATATTGAGGTGTCATCAGCATATATGAAACATTTGGAGTCTAAGTTATCAGGTAAGTCATTTATATATATTAGGAACAATATGGGACCGATGATTGAGCCTTGGGGAACGCCACAGATTGACAGTTTGGGTCAGATATGTTAGAGGATATGCCAGATATGTTAACCTTTATTCTGCGATCTAGTAATAGTCCCTGATCTGGACCCTCTGAAAAAAAGTTTTGTTGTCCGGTACTTTCCCACATAAAATGATTGTACCGTTTGAAAGAACAGACTTCCCTCTTGAAGAAAATAGCTCTTCAATTGATGTAAACAGGGGCAAAAGGCACCAAAACGGGGTTAGACAAGGTGGCATTCTGAAGTCTCACTTTCTTTTCATCACGATTCCAGGTAAACCATCAGACGGATTTACTTCAAATGTCCACACATGTTACATGGTAAGAAGTTCTAGAGCTGATTAACTTTACGGCGGCCATCTTGCATTCTGACGGCCATCTTGGAATTTTTTTCAGATAAATATTGTCATCGCGATTCCACAAAAACCACATAACAGGTGTACTTCAAATGTTCACACATGTAACATGGTAAAAAGTCCTAGTCCTAGTCCTTTTTCGGTAGCCATCTTGCATTCTGGCAGCCATCTTGGAAGTTTTAAGATAAATCTTGTCATCACGATTTCAGGAAATCCAAACGGATTTACTTCAAATTTCCACACATGTTACATGGTAAGAAAATATAGAGGTGAATAACTTTTCGGCAGCCATCTTGCATTCTGACGGCCATCTTGTCATCGCGATTCCACAAAAACCACATAACAGGTGTACTTCAAATGTTCACACATGTAACATGGTAAAAAGTCCTAGTCCTAGTCCTTTTTCGGTAGCCATCTTGCATTCTGGCAGCCATCTTGGAAGTTTTAAGATAAATCTTGTCATCATGATTTCAGGAAATCCAAACGGATTTACTTCAAATTTCCACACATGTTACATGGTAAGAAAATATAGAGGTGAATAACTTTTCGGCAGCCATCTTGCATTCTGACGGCCATCTTGGAAATTTTGGGATAAATCTTGTCATCGTGATTCCAGGAAAACAACCTAACAGATTAACTTCAAATTTTCACACATGTTACATGGTATGAAGTTCTAGAGCTGATTAACTTTTCAGTGGCCATCTTGCATTCTGGCAGCCATTTTGGAAGGTTTATAGATAAATCTTGTAATCGCGATTCCAGAAAAAACACTTTACAGTTTTACTTCGAATTTTCACACATGTTACATGGTATGAAGTTCTAGAGCTGACTAACTTTTCGGTGGCCATGTTGCATTCCGTCGGCCATCTTGGAAGTTTTTAGATAAATCTTGTCATTACGATTCCATGAAAACCACGTAACAGTTTTACTTCAAATTTTCACACATGTTACATGGTAAGAAGTTATAGAGCTGATTAACTTTCCGATAGCCATCTTGCATTCTGGCGGCCATCTTGGAAGTTTGTAGATAAATCTTGTCATCACGATTCCAGAAAAACCACTTTACAGATTTGCTTCAAATTTTCACACTTTATACATTTACATTCACAATGGTCCCTTCCTGGTATATTTTTTTTAGGTTTTATGACTGTTAAATTCTATAGTCTTGTTAAGACCACTTTATAAACAGGTTTATTATTACTTTTATGACTGTTAAATTATATAGTCTAGTTAACGCCACTTTATAAACAGGTTTATTATTACTGGTGTAACTAACATAACGAAAAAAATATATAATTAATTTATTTGATTTTATATAACATGAAATTATTTTTTCTTTTCGATAAAACATTGCTTATTAGAAATATATTTAGTTGAAAACTTAGAGCAGGGCTCTCGCCAGGCTTTTAGACTGTGGCGCAGCACCACACTCTATTAGCTCCCTCCACACCCTATTGGCAAATCATGACTGTTTCCACAGTCTAAACTTGACTGAATATACAATAATAGCATGTAAAAAGGATAAAACATAACATAAATATGATTTATCATGATCGAATGGTTATTCTGAAGATGTTAGCACCACACCCTAAATATTTCCTGGTGAGAGGCCTGTAGAGTAAACAATCAGTTC